GACTGCCCGCATAATTGTTCGGCCTCGCGCCGCGGACGACCCGCGCGCGTCGCTGGGACCCTCTCGGGGCGACCAGCGCGCGTCGCGGGGATTCCGCGCGGCGCTCTGCTCAGCGCCTCGCTCGCCCGTCGTCGCTCTGCCCAGCGGCCGGAGCCTTGCCCGCAATCAGCCGGCCGGCTAGCTCTCTGTGCTCCGCGCGGCGGACGACCTGCGCGCGTCGCTGGGACCCCTCCGCGGCGACCTGCGCGCGTCGCGGGGGCCCCGCGCTGCTCTGCGCCCGCAGCTTTGGACTTTTGGAGCGCGCAGGCAAAGAGGGGGGAAAAGAAGGGGCGGAAGCGGGTGCGATCCCCGTGGGGGGCGTGCCGACATGGGCGTCGCGGCGCGCGGGCGCTGCCGTCGGGGTTCCCGCGGAAGCTGCCTGCGGCGGCCACGCCCAGTGTCACGAGTGTTCGGACAGGCGCGCTCGAGCCATTCACATTCATATACAGTTACACTAGGCGTAGCCAAGATCGCATTCATGCAAATATACTCACTCCCACGCAGACCCATTCACACTCAGACTCTCTCGCGCTCTGGCTCACCCGCGTTCATTCTTTCGTAATCTGACCTATCGTATTCCTTTGCGTTGTGTACCCCGCCATATTTCGGCATACCCCTCATGCGGTTCGTGGCCCCATAGGGGTCGCCACCGAAGAAGGTACTCACAATTGCGGCACTCACAACTGCATATGGTTGGGTCTTTCGCCAGGATAATTGGTTTCTTGGGGTGCATGCAGGAGGCATCCTGGAGGCCTCCTGGGGGTGTGTATGAGGTAATTTTTAAGCCTTCGGGGGCGCTTTTGGGCGCCTTTTTGGGGCTTCCTGAGGGCCGCTTGGAGCTTCTCGGGGTGTCTTGGGCGCTCCTAGGGCCATTTTGGTGCTTCCTGGGCGCCTCTTGGGCAGTCTTGGGCCCTTCGGGGGCCACCATGGAGCCCTCTTGGGCGCTTCTTGGGCCCGTCCTGGGGCCCGCTTGGGCTGTCTTGGGGGCCTCCCGGACCGTCTTGGGCCCTTCTTGGGCCGACTTGGGGCCCTCTTGAGAGCTTCTGGGCTTGTTTTGGGGGTCTTGGGCCGTGTTGAACACTGCGAAGGCCGAAGAAGCGAACGTACAACAAATGTGCGTTTTCCCAAGGTGATGGAACATATTTTTCGTCTTTAGGCACTCTTGGGAGGTGTCGGGGGGGCACGTTGGAGGCTTCTGGAGCCGTCGGGGGAACATATTGGGTGTCTTGGAGCGATGTTTCGGCCACTCAGGGCCCTCTTGGGCCGCCTGGGCGGCCGCTGGGTTTTATGGGCCCGCGTTCGGGCGAGGGGCCGACCCGGAGTGAGCTGGAGTTCCGATTTTGCCACCAAGATTGACTCGGACCCCGCCCCCACTACCCCGGCAGAGCCACCCCGGCACCCGCCCCTCCAGCAGAGCTGCAGCTGAAGAACTGAGACTCAGGCTATATCTGAGGGTCTCTGAAACTCACGCGCCGGATCGGCGGATTTTGAGTCTCGGGCTCGCGCCATGAGACGCGAGCCCCTCGTGCAGGCGACTGTGTAACCCGGACTTCCTGTTCCGCGTGGTTCAGGCAGTGGAGTTCATGCAGCGGGGATATCGTCGCCGAAGACGAGGGCCACGTGCTCCAACGAGCCGCCCTGAGGGTCCAGGAAGCTACTCGCCAGGACCTCGGCGGTGAAGTGCCGAATTCATCGCGTGCGTGTCGTAAGGTATGATCGGTGCAACAGTATCTGTTTGCGTGTGCCGTCGTGCTCGGGCCAGTCTCAGACATCGGCTCCAGTCTGACATTGCAATGCCACCGCAGATGTCGCCGCCTTTTGGTGTTCCGCCGAGGCCAAACGCTTGCTGCCCAGCGTTCGGTGTTATGAGGTGTGTGTAGCCGCTTTCTGTGTTGAAACTGCAGATTCATGAACTCCTACGCGCGGCGCATCTGTGAGCGCGCTTTGATGCTGGCGTGGATGATGATGACGATGATGATGATGATGATGGTGATGATGCTGATGATGATGATGATTATGATTATGATGATGATGATGATGATGATGATGATGATGATGAGGTGTGTGTGTGTGTGTGTGTGCGTGTGGGTGTCGTGTATTCGGTGTGGCCTGTGTGGTGAGCTGTATTTGCGAAGGGCGGCTCATTGGGGGCGGAGTGGGCGGCCCTTCCCTTCCGTTGCTGCCTGCGCGCGTCCACGTCGCATTCTTCCCACCCCCTCCCCCATTTCTTTTCCTCCGCCCTGTTGGGCCCAGGAACCTTTAAGGAAACCGATTGCCCCGTTCAGGCAGAATGAGGCGCGGCTCCAGAAACGACTTCGTGTTCGGCTCCGCACCTGGTCGTGCGTGCCCAAGGGTGTACCGTGAAAGGTTGTTGGCAAGGATGAAGCACGGCCAGTCGACCAATTGCGTGTAGTGCGGCCGGATCTCCAACCTCCAGGCCATCGCGCCGCCCCTCCCATGGGCTGCGAGGAGGCGGCGATCATCGAGCGCAGTGGGGGTGCAGCGGGTCCCTCAGCCAGCCTTCTGACCCTGACCTCGCCGCTTGTCCTCCGCCCCCTGCTCTATGCAAACTGGCGTTGCTGCAAATGTAGCGGGGCCATGGTGGCACCTCCTCGCGCTGCGCCCTTGGTGTTGAAGCTCAAAGCTTTTCCATCGGGGCCTGTGCCTTCTGTCGGACCACCCTCTTGCGTTTCAGGGGAAACAGCAGCCGCCCCCCAAAATGGCGCGCCCAGGTTTTGGGCGTCGCAATTACTCAGCGGGACTTGTGCCAGATCTCGGCGGAGGCGGCTGGGCTCCGCGGGGGGCGCGACGCCTTCGTGCAAGTCGCAGTCACCGATGGCAGAACCCGCCCTCCAAGTGCATCCTTTCAGCTACCTCCCTTTCGGAGGCGATGCAGTGCTTTTTGGGTCCCCCAGGCAACCCAAGAGCTCTCCAGGACGGCCCCAGAGAGTCCCGAGACGGCTCTCCAGGCCGCCAGCGGGTCCCAAGAAAGCCCCCAGACGCACCCGAAACGCCCCCAAGAGCTCCAGAATGGAACCAGACGGCCTCGTGATGGTTCCCAAGAGGCCGACTCTCGCTGATAAGACGCCCCCCAGACGCCCCCAATAGTCCGAGAATAGTCCCAGACAGTCTCAAAACGGCTCCCAAGTGGCCGTGCTTCGCTGTCGGTGGAACGGACTGGAATTGAGGTGCGGTGGGTGCGTCCGTTTGGAAACGTGGGTCCCAGTATCGGTGTCCACCGACCGCTACGAGCCATGAACGATGAGCCAGCAGTTGTGCACAGCGCGTTCCGGCAGGGCCCTTCCGGGACACGCTGAGGGAGAAGGGGCGTCAGGAAGAGGAAGAGGAGGAGGAGGAGGAGGGGGGGGGGGGGCAGCCCGGGCGCCCGCGGCGGTCGCCCCCCAACGCCGCCCGGGCGCCCGCGGCGGTCCGAGCAGGAAAAAGAAAGGGCGGGGGGGGCATCAGCGGGCCACGCGGGGGCACAGAGCGCGTCGCGCCTGGCCACCGCCCCCGCTGCGTGCGTCCACCTGACCTCCCCCCTTGCTGCTGCTTCTGCTGGTCCCCCCCCCCTCCGCCGCCGCCGCCGCCGCCGCCGCCGCCGCCGTCGTCGTCGTCGTCGTCGTTGTCGTCGTCGTCGTCGTCGTCGTCGTCGCCGGCGCCGTCGTCGTCGGGGTCGCCGCCCGCGCCGCGACGGACGTGTGGCCCGAGGGGGGGCGGGAGACGCCGGAGCCCCAGATCGGCCGGGGGCGCGCGCGCGCGGGGGCTTCCTTTCCTCCTCCCTCGCCCTCTCCCCCCCCTCCCCTCTTGCCTTCCGCTCTCCCTCCCCTCCCCCCCCCCCCCTTTCCCGCAGTCTTCCCCCCCCATCCCCTTTCCCCGCTGCCCCCCCCCCCCCCGAAGGAGGCCGTTTCGCCCAAGAGGGCAGGCCCCGCGCGGCAGCCCCGCCCGGGGCATGCTCGGCGCAGCGCCTGACCCCGCAGGGCTCAAGAAGATGGGGGGTCCCGCGCGGCAGCCCCGCGCGGGGGCCTGCTCGGCGCGGCGCTCGCCCCCGCGTGCTCAATCGGACAGGGGGCCGTATGCGTGCACCGCGAGGTGACATACTAGCAAGACGGGCGGGCCTCGCGCGACAGCCCGGCGCCGCGGGCTTGCCGCGACGACGCCTGGCCCCGCCCAGCCCTTGATATCAGTAGCCTCCGGCTTAAAACAAGTGCCTGCGCGCGCCCAACCAAGTGCTCGTGCCGACCCCCCGCGGCCGCGACGGGCCGCGACGGACAGGTCGCTGCCGACGGAGCCCCAGTTCTGGACGCGCCTGGGCCTGTCCGCGGACAAAGCCCTTGCAGCGCTGCGCAACTTCGCCACCAAGGCCACGCGCATCCTGGAGCAGCGCCGGGGCGCTAGGACATCCAACCGTGGGCTCCTCGCAAAATCCATCATGAAGCTGTGGGTGTCCGGAGCCGTGCCGTTTAATGACGCGGGCCGGGTCGAGAGGACGATGCAAGCAGTGAGTGCCTGCGCGATGGCCTCCCACGACCCGCCGAGGGTGGACATGCGCACTGCGGTCGCCCGTGCCCGGGAGCTCCTCGAGGCCCGCCAGCAGCGGAGCGGCCGCCGCGCCGGCGCGCGCGGGCGCCGCAGCCGCAGCCGCAGCCGAGGCGCCGGACGCGACGCCCCCGAGCGCGCCCGCCGTTCCAAGGACAAGGCGCCGGAGGCTGGCGGCGCGCGCAGCCGCGGACGGAGCCGCCGCCGTGCCCCGAGCCCCAGGTCACCGATCCCCTCCAGGCCGGCCGGCAGCCCGTCGCCGAATGCCACGCCGGTCCTCCACCGCGGGCGGTCGAGGACGCCTTCCACCGAGATCGCCGGCCAGAGCCCCTCGACCCCCCCAAGGAGCCGCCGGCGCAGGGGGCGCCGGCCCCGACCCCGACGGCAGTTGCGCCGTGCACCCCGTCGCCGCAGCCGGCGCTACCGCTGCGCCCGGGACGCCGCAGCGGCAGAACGAGCAGTCGGCGTTCCTCTCGCAGCTGGCCGCAGTCTCTCCGCGCACGCAGAGCCGCATGATTGAGGCCGCGATGGGGGCCGCCCGGCCGGCGTGCAGCGCCGTGGCGGGGCCGGCGGCGGCGACCCCGCCGCCCGCCGCCCCGCAGGCGCTGGCGAAGAAGCGCAAGGGCCCGCCCGACACGCCAGCCGCCAGCGGCGCAGCCGGGGGCTCGCTCACGGTCGACGGGGGCTCCAACGCGGACGTAGGCGGCATCGTCGGCGGCTCGTGCGCCATGCTCTCCCAGAACCGCGGAATGCCGACGTACTTCAAGGACGTGCAAACCCACGACCTCGACGTGTTGCTGTACTTTTGGGACGAGCGTGACGGGGGGCAGTTCTGCGGCTGGTGGTTCGGGCACCGGCTGGGAGGAGACCGCGTGTGGTCACACTGCCCAGGGCGGGCCCCCACGCCGCCTCAGACGGGATGGAGGGCCCCGTGCGACGGGCCCATTGACCCAACCTTCGTGGTGACCACCCAGCCGCAGGGACCTTCGCTGGAGGCTCCACCCCGCGCGCAGCCATCCTACTCCGCGGAGGCCGTGAGCGAGGGCCACAGCGCGACGACGCCAGCCAGCAGTCCGATGGCCTCATGCGATGGCCCCGCGGGACCCGGGGCCGCGCAGCCCAGCCAGCCGTATGTACCTGCAGGCTCCCGCCAGTCCAGGCCCCTCCCGACAGCGGGAGTCCCAGACCTGTCGACGGCAGACCACCCCACGAAGCGATGGGACGCCAACCGCGCCCTCCACCCCCCCGCGACCCGGCGGCCATTCTGATCGAGCAGTCGAGCCCGAACTGGCAGCCGATGGCCGCGAACCACGTCGTCGAGTTCTCCTTCGCCCCAGGCGGGAGCCTGGACCGCGACGCCCAACTCTGGGGCTTCTACCGCACCTTGGCGTGCGCGGGGATCTATGTTCACGAAGTGTACGCTGGGGCCCAGTGGGGGGCGCGCGCCAACGCGTGGGGCGGGGCCGGCACGATCTACGTGCCCGCTGTCCGGACGAGCCACGGGGTCACCATCAATTGGTGGCGGTCCCGTGATGGCCGCTTCCGCTGCGACGGGAAAACACCCCTGGTGGAGCACCTGCCTGTGGCCGCAGCTCCGCAGGGCGTTCCCCGTGTGGGCTCCCGGGGCGACGGCCCGCGGGCGGACCGCAGGAAGGCAGGCAAACAGAGCGATGGTCCAACAGGGGCGGCCCAACCAGGAAGACGTGCAGCGCAGGGCGCGCCAGCAGCGCCTGGCCGGCAAAGTCCTCGTGCTCCGTGGGCAGACGCTCTTCCGCTCGGATGCCCCCGACCGTCAGGGTGCGTGGCCAGGGGTCTGGGACCTGCTGGACGAGCACATCGGTGTCCGGAACGTCCCGCCACGCCACACTATGCCATGGCCGCTCGTCCTCCGGACTGGCGTCACCCTATCGATCAGCAGCGACGGCCGCGTGCGGTCGGCCATTAGCAGGGCCCCGCTGCAGGCGATCGAGGACGCGGAGCGGCTCCTCTAGACAAGGGCGGGAGCGACGTGGCAGGATGAGGCCGAGCGCGCCCGCGCAGAGCCGGCCATGGAGGTGGTCTATGGGGAACCCGGCCAGAAAGCCCGCGCCCTCCAGACCCCGCCAGTTTTTCGCTAGGCGCTGCCCTCGCGGCGGCCATCGCGACTGCGCAGTCCGCCGACCCCGGGGGGGCAGCGCCGACAGAGGACCGGGAAGCAGCCACCGCTCACCAGCGGCTGGGTGAGGAACTGGCCCGTGCAGAGGCCGCCGCGTACATGGGCGCCCTCGAGGGGCTCCCGACGCTGGCGCGGCCGTGGTCGCCGGGCGCCCGCGGGCGCGACGCGACGTCGAGTGCTGGGCAACGGGCGTGGCGGCTGACGTCGACCGCCTGCTTGAAGAGCAGCCCCGGACGTGCTCTGCCCCGCTGATCGGCCTGCTCCCAGGCCTACGCGGCGCGGCAGAGGCGCTGACCGCGGCATTACACGCATCCGCCACCGCCGCGGGCCAGCTGGCCGAGGGCCGCCGCGGCCGACGGAGCCAGGGCCCGAGCGCCACCCTCGGGTCAAGCGCGTGCGCAGGCCCCCTGCGCGTGGTGCCGCACGCCGCAGACCCAGCAGCAACACAGGCGGCGAGTGGCTAGACTCTTGGCGGGGTTAGCGCTGGCCTGTCTGGCGGCGCAAACCTACAGGGCACGGGCATCCTCGCCCATCGGTGGAGGGACAAAGGCACCCTCATGACGGCGCTCGACGTTGAGTTCTTTCTCAGCACCGCGTGCCGCCTCCTGCCTGGCATCGATTTTAGCCGCCGCGTCCCCGACTTCCCCTTCGAAGCGATGGGCCCCGCCACCGCGAAATGCGAGGCGGTCGTGGGATTCCGGCATCGCGAGGCACGTGTGCCGATTGAATTGCTGAGCGGAGAGACAGATACCGACCGCACCCAGTGGTATGTAGCTGATGGAGAGGTGCTTAACGGGGGGTTCGCCATCCCGCCGAAGGGGCTCGAGGCGCCATAATAATCCCGCCGCGAGCTCGTGGGCGCGCTGTTCTCGCAGTACGACAGGATCCGGCGCAGCCGCCCTGAACTATCACTCGCGGTGGCATACGGTGACCTCAACCCCAGCCCGTCCCTGGAGAAGCATTACCGACGTCACCTCGCCGCCCGGGGGCTGGGGGGCCTCGTCCCAGACGCCGTCGCCGCGCATGTCCGCGGGCGCCGCCTGGACGTCGCGCGGACCACGGACCCCGTCCGCGTCACCGCGGTGGTGCACGGGGAGGAGTGCCGCGCATCGGGCTGCACGAGGCAACACTGTGGGAAGCCCGTCGAGCTCTTCGGGTGCCACGACCTGGACCACTACCTGGTCGTCCTGACAGGCCTTCAGACGCGTGCCCCCGCAGGCGCGACGAGCAGGAGCGGCCGCGCTGCCCGCTGCGTATTCAGCAAAGAGCCGGGCGATTGGTCAGTCTCCTTGAGGGCCCTGGAGCCGTTCCAAGAGCTCGCCGCCGAGGAGCTCCGCCGATGGTCTCAACCCGGGGGCACGTGGCGGACTGCCCCGGGCGACGCGCTCCTGGCATCTGCGGGGCTTGCGTCATGGCTTTGGCGTGCCTCTTGCTACCTGGGCGCGGTGACGGGCGGCCTCCTGTGGGTCGCGCGCGCGCCCCCCCTCCAGCTCGCGCCGCCGAGCAGCGCCCCCCTCGCGGCGGGCGCCATCCAGGCGACGCGGCGGCGGCAGGCCGAGCGAGCCAACGCCCTGGCCCGCACGCGCGCGGCACGGTGCATCCAGCTCGCCGAGCAGGACCCCACGGCAGCGGAGCAGTGCCTCACGAAGATCTCCGGACAGCGCGGCCTGGGCCTCCCGGAGATCATGGGGGACAGCAGCGTGCCAGGCGCCTTCAGGGGAGGCGACGACGTCCAGACAGGCGCGGCGCAGTGCATTCGTCAGAGAGGGTGCGGTCGGGAGGCGGACTTCACGCCCCGCCAAAAGGACCACCTCAGGCGTGGTGAGCGCCGCTCCCGAGATCTCCTTGCCTCTCTGCGCCAGCAGTGGCGGCAGGAGTGGGCGCGGGACCACCGCCCTTACACTGAAGAAGACCTCCGAGACGCCTGCGATCGGATCAAGGTCGGAAAGGCCAGCGCAGGACTGCCGTACGCCTGCCTCCAAGAGATGCCCCAGGGACAGGGGGCTCCTCTTGTGCGTGCAAAACTTCGCCCGGTTTCTTATGGTAATCCCCGGCCGGTGGAAAGATCAGCCGACTTTTCACAAGCGGAAACAGGGGAAGCCACAACAGCAGTACCCGGTTACCGTGCCCTTTCCACGAACACCGTGGAACTCAGAGTGGCCGAGGAACTGTGGGCGCTGCACCACGAGCACGTACTCTGGCTTTCCGCGGGGGGCTGCCAATTGGGCAGGGGAGAATCTCTCATCGCGGTCCTGCTCGGCGTCGAGACGCGGCTCATACGCGCAGACCTGGGCCTGCCCATCGCCGAGGCCTTCGCAGACCTTGCGGAGGCGTTTGACACGATACACGCCCCAGCGGTTATCCTGGGCATTAGCGAAGGTGCGGGCCTCACCGGAGAGGACCTCGTGCTGGCCGCGCAGATGCTCCACGGCTCCCAGGTCCGCGTGGTCTCGGGCGAGGCGCAGGCTGCCCCAGTTCCCCTTACGGACGGCATGCCCGAAGGCCGGCGCCTCGCCCCAGCCTTCTTCGTCGCGGCGGCCAGGGCCTTCAGGGCGGCCGCTGGCCCCGATTGCGGCGGCGTCGGGCTCGACCCCCCCGCCGAGGCGGTCACCGCCTTCCACCTCGCGGCCCACGAGGACACCGGCGGGCCCCCCCCGTCCTGGGAACCGCCCTCAGGTGCCGCCAGGGCAGCCAGACCTGGGAGGCCTCCGTGCGCGCAGCCCCCTCCCACGCGGACCAGTGCGCCCTCCTGGGCGCCGCCTCCACCCTGCGGGTCGGCCTCGCACAGTTTATGGACGACAACGTGCACAGGGCCAGCTCCAGGGGCGGCCTCGACCTCTGCATCCAGCGCATCACAGAGGCAGCCTAGTCGGTCCGAGGCGAGCTCCGCGTCGGGCCCGGGAAGAGGGAGTGCATCAGCAACGGGATCGCGGACGTCCGACCGATCCGCGGCATCGCGTTCGCCACGCAGCACACGTCCCTGGGCATCCCAGTCGAGGCTGACGCCCGCATGATAGGCCTCCTCAGGCACGTCGAAAACCGGGCGCAGGGAGGCCGGGCCAGCGCGCTCACGGCCACCGAGCACCTCGGCTTGCCCACCGCCGCCGCGCTGGCCGCCCTGCGCACGCGGACCACCCCGCGAGCATGCCATGGGGCGGCCCTGCTCATCGTTCGTGGCGATTGGGAGCGCCGTGTTGACGCCGTCCCGGACCGGTGGATTTCACGGTTGCTTGAACTCTCTCAGCCGGTGCCGCGCATCGCCCTCCTCCGCGAAGGCGGGCTCGCATGGCGGCTGAGCGCCAGCGCCCTCCGCCACGCCTTCGGCCTCCACGCCCGCGTGCAGGCGCCCCCGCAGGCGGCGCGCCCGGCCCGCGTCCTGCGAGCGGCCCGCGAGTGCCAGGGCACGTGGGCGGCGGCGCTCGAGCACTACGCGAGCGACCTGGCCGCCCCCCTCTTCGCCGAGTGGGCGCGCGGCGCCCTCGCCCAGGACACCCGCGCCCTGAGCGGCTCAGCGAGGGGGCGGGCGACCCGCCGCTACCTCCGCGAGGCCGTCGACCCGGGGCTGCAGGCGCGCGAGGACGAATGGCTCGCGGCCCAGCGCGCGCTCTACCCAGCCCGGGGCGTGCGCAGCTTGCCGGAGGTCAGCGACCTGGCCCTGGTCTGCCATGCCGTCCGCCCCTGGGCGCAGCTGCGGCTACAAGGCCGCTTCACGTCCCACGGCGGCCTGGCGGCGCCCTGCCGGTGGTGCGGCGCCGTGGCCCCGGTGGACAGCAGCCACCTCGGGGAGTGCTCCCAGGCTGCCCGCGCCGCTCAGGACGCAGCCGCGGGCACCCCATGGGAGGGGAACAGCGCGGCAGAGCTGTGGCGCCGGTGCCGCGAGGACGCGGACGTCCTCACGGCGATCACAGTAGCCGGGCGCCTCGCGGCCCGCTAGGCCGGCAAAGGGCCTCCGTCCGAGGTATAATAAAGGAGCCCTTGTCCCCAGGCCCCAGGCCCTTACCCTGGCCCGCCCCCCCTTGGCCCGCGGTGCCCCGCCCTCCCCCCCCCGTTCCCGTGCCCCCCCTCTTCTCCCTCCCTCTCCCTGCCCCCCCCTCTTCCCCTCCCTCTCCCATCTCCTGGCCCCCTTCCCCCCTTTCCGGGGCCTGCGATGCTCCTCTCGGCGGTCCCGGCCGAGGCCCAGAATAATGGTCAAGACGACGCCGTCGTGACTCATGTTCCGGGGCTCCGCTGGACGCCCGAGCGTAACCTGGGAGGTCGGGGGGGCAGGGCCGGGCCCGCGAGACGGCAATGCGAGGGGGCCCTAGGCGGCGCCCGGTGGCCCCGGGAGGCCCTGCGCGCGGCTGGCGGTGAGGCGTCCTGGACAGCCCAGCGGGCGCGGCGGGGATCGGACTGGGGTGCTGCGCGCCAGGCCCGATCCCCGTCGGCCCCCCGGGCAGTCCCCGGCGCGTCCCGCGCGGGCCCGCGGGGGGCGGCCCGGGGCAGTTTGGAAGCCAGGAGGTAGGGGATCTTGGGGGTGCGCGGCTGCCACGGGGCGACTTGCGCAGCGCCGGCCCCGCGCCGGCGGCCTCTCCCCATGGTCCCCGCCCGCGGCCCCTGGCCCTTAGCCCGTCCCATGTCATGGTGACCCGGGCGGGGGCCCAGAAGCAGAGTGCGCAGCCCCCGGCGGGCGTCCAGCGCACTCCCCGCATGTCCCGCGCCATGGGGTGTCCCACGGGCGGGCTGCGAGGGGCGCTGAGTCGTTGGCAGACCGCCAGGGACAGCCCTATATATCCTTTAAAGCTCTCCCGTGTCTGCCCAGGGGGCCCGCGGCGGGTAGACAACCGCTGGCGGCATGCGGTCGAAAAGGGAAAAGGAGGAGGAGGAGGACAAATATGAAGATCTGAAGGAGGAAAAGGAGGAAAAAAAGTGAATAAATAGTAGGAGAGCGGGGGCAGGAGCAGGATCACGGGGAGACGAGGGGGAAAAGAGAAGGTGGAGAGGGGGCAAGGAAGGCCAGGAGACCCCTGCAGCTGATGATTAACATCCGCCGCTCTGCGGTTGATCGGGAGTTTCTGTATATAGAAGACCGGGCGCGCGCTTCTGGGCGAGAGGGAAATGATCGAGAGGAGAAAGAGCGTGAGCATCAGGAAAGCGAGGCTCGCGGGGGGGGAACCAGCGGCGAAAAGTCTGCGGAAATCGCGCGCCCCGAGAAATCTCCTCCTCCTCCTCCTCGCCCACCTCCTCTTCCTCCTCCTCCTCCTCCTCCTCCTCCTCCTCCTCCTCCTCCTCATCATCATCATCATCATCATCATCATCAACATCATCTTCATCATCATCGTCATCATCATCATCATCAGCATCATCATCATCATCATCGTCCTACCGCATCCTCCTTCTTCCCCTCCTCCTCCTCCTCCTCCTCCTACTCCTGTTCATCCTCTTCCTCCTCATCCTACTCCTGCTCATCCTCCTCCTCCTCCTCCCACACCCTGGTCCTCCTCTTCCGCCTCCTCCGCCTCCTCCTCCTTTCCTCCTCCTCCTCCTCCTCCTCCTCATCCTGCTCTTCCACACACCGCATCCTCAGCCCCCGCGGCCCCAGAACGTCCCGACCCCTTCCCCAGATCCGTCTTTGCTGCGCCATGATGCCAGAACGCGGCACCGAAGCCCGAAACCGAGGAAAGCCACCAGGATTGAAAGAATCGTATCGTCGGAGATCAGGGCCCTCCGCCTCCTCCTCCTCCTCCTGCTCGTTCTCCTCCTCCTCCTCCTCCCCCTCCTCCTCCTCGTCCTCCGCATCCTCCCGTTTCTTCCTCTCTATCTCCTCCTCTCCCCCGGGGCCCATTTTGTGGCTCCGGAAACGGTGCCGGAGGCCGCTCTCTCCCCCGGGGCCCGTTTTGTGGGGATGCCTCAAGCGAGGGCGCCGGTTTGGGATTCGTCCGCGGATCCGCTGGATCTGTCCGGAAACGGTGCCGGAGGCCGCTCTGGGCTCCTGTGGGCACCTCCCCCGGGGCCCGTTTTGTGGGGATGTCTCAAGCGAGGGCGCCGGTTTGGGATTCGTCCGCGGATCCGCCGGATCTGTCCGGAAACGGTGCCGGAGGCCGCTCTGGGCTCCTGTGGGCACCTCCCCCGGGGCCCGTTTTGTGGGGATGTCTCAAGCGAGGGCGCCGGTTTGGGATTCGTCCGCGGATCCGCCGGATCTGTCCGGAAACGGTGCCGGAGGCCGCTCTGGGCTCCTGTGGGCACCTCCCCCGGGGCCCGTTTTGTGGGGATGTCTCAAGCGAGGGCGCCGGTTTGGGATTCGTCCTCCCCCGGGGCCCGTTTTGTGGGGATGTCTCAAGCGAGGGCGCCGGTTTGGGATTCGTCCGCGGATCCGCCGGATCTGTCCGGAAACGGTGCCGGAGGCCGCTCTGGGCTCCTGTGGGCACCTCCCCCGGGGCCCGTTTTGTGGGGATGTCTCAAGCGAGGGCGCCGGTTTGGGATTCGTCCTCCCCTGGGGCCCGTTTTGTGGGGATGTCTCAAGCGAGGGCGCCGGTTTGGGATTCGTCCGCGGATCCGCCGGATCTGTCCGGAAACGGTGCCGGAGGCCGCTCTGGGCTCCTGTGGGCACCTCCCCCGGGGCCCGTTTTGTGGGGATGTCTCAAGCGAGGGCGCCGGTTTGGGATTCGTCCGCGGATCCGCCGGATCTGTCCGGAAACGGTGCCGGAGGCCGCTCTGGGCTCCTGTGGGCACCTCCCCCGGGGCTCGTTTTGTGGGGATGTCTCAAGCGAGGGCGCCGGTTTGGGATTCGTCCGCGGATCCGCCGGATCTGTCCGGAAACGGTGCCGGAGGCCGCTCTGGGCTCCTGTGGGCACCTCCCCCGGGGCCCGTTTTGTGGGGATGTCTCAAGCGAGGGCGCCGGTTTGGGATTCGTCCGCGGATCCGCCGGATCTGTCCGGAAACGGTGCCGGAGGCCGCTCTGGGCTCCTGTGGGCACCTCCCCCGGGGCCCGTTTTGTGGGGATGTCTCAAGCGAGGGCGCCGGTTTGGGATTCGTCCGCGGATCCGCCGGATCTGTCCGGAAACGGTGCCGGAGGCCGCTCTGGGCTCCTGTGGGCACTTCCCCCGGGGCCCGTTTTGTGGGGATGTCTCAAGCGAGGGCGCCGGTTTGGGATTCGTCCGCGGATCCGCCGGATCTGTCCGGAAACGGTGCCGGAGGCCGCTCTGGGCTCGTGCTCTTCGCGCCGGGGGTGAGGATGACGTGAGTTCCACAGAAACTCCCTCAAATGATGCCCCAGCCGATCCGCTTGCTCCTCTCCTGTCCGAGCTCGCACTCGCAATCGGTCAGTCTGCGCTAGAACATTAGCGTGCGCGAAGCACGCATGGTTCTAAGACGCACACGTATATATACAAGTGGCACGTGTGTGCCCAGGCTCATACAACAAACTGAAGGGGCGTTTACAGCAGGAGTGACATGCAACAGCGAAGTCGCACTCGAGCGCAAGTGGGGTTGCCACACCTTGCGATGTGTGTACCAGGGCCCCCCAGGAAACCTCAGGAGGCCCGACTTGGATACCAGAAGAGGCTCCAGGAGGCCCCAGGATTGTGAGTGTTGTGTGTGTGTGTGTGTGTATGTGTGTGTGTGTGTGTGTGTGTGTGTTTGTGTGTGTGTGTGTGTGTGTGTGTGTGTGTGTGATGTGTGCTTTGTGTGGTGCGTGCTTTTTGTGTGTTGTCGGTGTTGTGTGTGTGTGTATGTTATGTTTGTCTAGCGTGTGATGTGTTGGGCGTGATTTGTGTCTCTGTGTGTGCATGTAGTTCTGAAGCCCCAGGAGGCCCCAGGAGGCCCCAGGCGGCCTCAGCAGGCCCAGGAGAACTCCAGGAGGCTCCGAGGCGGGGTCTGGGGTACCAGAAGGTCCAGAAAGCCCCAGGAGGCCCCAGGAGGTTCCAGGAGGCCCCCAGGAGGCTCCGAGGAGGGGTCTGGGGCTCGATTTTGGGAGGATGTCTCAGGCGAAACCGCCATTCTCTGAGAATCGGGGTCAAAATTATTGAAATTACAATGTGTTTTTGAAGGTTTTATGTTAAAATGTTGAAATTCCCATGTGTTTTTGGACCCTGACGTCACGATCTGCGTGAGGGGTGCCACCGATTTTCAGAATTTCGAGGATGTCCCGAGCGAAACGGCCAGAAACATCGCGGACGACGTGCGCATTAATCGCCTCTGAGCTCTACTCCCTCGGAGAGGTGCGTATGATAATATATATATATATATATATATATATGTATATATGTATGTATATGTTATATATACACAAGACTGCATTGGCGCTTCGCGCCATGCACCTTGGTCCTTGAGGCTTTGCATATGTTGGTCGTTCGCGCCATCCTTAGTGGCCTTGGAAATTTGGCCCCTTCATTGCGGTGGTTTTCAGAAGTCTTCGACAGTTCGGGCGGTCCCTGGCACTTCCTGGGCCTCTGGGGGCTCCCGAAAGGCGCCGGGTGGAGGGCGAAGGATGGGAGGGAGGGAATCTCGGGAAGCCAGGAAAGGAAGCGGATGTGCGAGTGGTGGAGTGGCAGACAGAGGAGGAGGAGGAGGAGGAGGAGGAGGAGGAGGAGGAGGAGGAGAGGAGGAGGAGAGGAGGAGGAGGAGGAGGAGGAGGAGGAGGAGGAGGAGGAGGAGGAGGACGGAGGAGGCGGAGGAGGAGGAGGAGGGGAGAGGAGGAGGAGGAGGAGGAGGAGGAGGAGGAGGAGGACGGAGGAAGGAGGGGAGGAGGAGGAGGAGGAGGAGGAGGAGGAGGAGGAGAGAGGAGGAGGAGGAGGAGGAGGAGGAGGAGGAGGTGGAGGAGGAGGAGGAAGGTGGAGGAGGAGGAGGGGAGGAGGAGGAGAGGAGGAGGAGGTAGGAGGAGGAGGAGGAAGGAGGAGGAGGAGGAGGAGGGAGAGGAGGAGGAGGAGGAGGAGGGGAGGAGGAGGAGGAGGAGGAGGAGGAGGAGGTGGAGGAGGAGGAGAGGAGGAGGAGAGGAGGAGGGAGGAGGAGGAGGAGGAGGAGGAGGAGGAGGAGGAGGGGAGGAGGAGGAGGAGGAGGAGGAGGGGAGGAGAGGAGGAGGAGGAGGAGGAGGAGGATGAGGAGGAGTAGGAGGCGGAGGAGGAGGAGGAGGAGGAGGAGGAGGGGGGGAGGAGGAGGAGGAGGAGAGGAGGAGGAGGAGGAGGAGGAGGAGGAGGAGGAGGAGGACCGAGGGAGGAGGAGGAGGAGTGAGGGAGGAGGAGAGGAGATGAGGGAGGAGGAGCAGGAGGAGGAGGAGGAGGAGGAGGAGGAGGAGGAGGAGGAGGAGGAGGAGGAGGAGAGGAGGAGGGCGCCGTCGGGGGACGTCGAAGGATGTTCCAGCGGGTTGCGGCGGGTCGCAACGGGGCACGCGAACGCAACTAATTCTTACGGAATGCACCCGATCCCGGGTTCGCAACAGATTTCCGGCATTTGTGGTTGCGAGCCCGGAATTCGGGTCAGTTTGGTGGAAAACGCCGTGTGGGCCTTGTTGGAGCCCTGGTCGACAGCTTGGGGCCGTCTCCAGCCGTCTTGGGGCCATCTTGGGCCGTGTTGGGGAGCTTGGGCCCTCTAAGGACCTTACAGGGGGCTACGACGTGGGCCCGCCTGTTGGCCTCCCATGGCCTTGGGGGTGCTCCCATGGCTTTCTTGAGCTCTATTGGGGGCCTCGTGAAGGCCTGTTGGGCCTCTTTTTGGCTCATTTGGGGTTTCCTTGGGCAGTCTTGGGGCCATCCAGTCCGTCTGGAGGCTCTCTTGGGGGTCTCTTGGACCGTCTTGGGGCGTACCTGGAGGCCTTTTCGGCTGTTTTGGACGCTGCTAAGACCCGAACAGCGAAATTACTGAAGATGCACGTGGAATGAAGCGATGTTTGCGTTCTGGGAGTCTTGTTGAGGGCCTCCTGGGCCGTCTTGGGGGCCTCTGGAGGCTATCTGGGTCCTTCTTGGAGCGCTCTTGTGCTGTCTTGGGTTTCTCTTCGGCCTCTCTGATCACCGCTCTGATCGCTTGGGGGCCTTGTGAGGGCCTGTTGGGTTTCTTTTTGGCTCATTTGTGGCTTCTGTGGGTAGTCTTGGGGACATCCAGGCCGTCGTCCAGAGGCTCTCTGGGGAGCCTCTTGGGCCCTGTTGAGGGTCTCCTGGGCTGTCTTGGAGGCCTCTGGAGGCCGTCTGGGTCCTTCTTGGAGCGCTCTTGTGCTGTCTTGGGTCTCTCTTCGGCGTCTCTGATCACCGCTATCATCGCTTGGGGGCCTTGTGAGGGCCTGGTGTGTATCTTTTTGGCTCAGTTGGGTCTTCTTTGGGCAGTCTTGGGGCCATCCAGGCCGTCCAGAGGCTCTCTTGGGGGTCTCTTGGGCCGTCTTGGGGCGATACTGGAGGCCTTTTTGGCCGTTTTTGGACGTTGCTCAGACCCGAACAGCGAACATGCTGCAAAATGCTGAAAATGCACGTCTTCCTCAGAGAATGAAGCGATGTTTGCGTTCTGGGAGTCTTGCTGAGGGCCTCCTGGGGCGTCTTGGGAGCCTCTGGAGGCTATCTGGGTCCTTCTTGGAGCGCTCTTGTGCGGCGGTCTTGGGTTTCTCTTCGGCCTCTCTGATCACCGCTCTGATCGCTTGGGACCTGCTGGCAGGATCCGGTAAACGCCCTGGGAGGTCTGGGACGAGCCAGGGGACCTTTGGCAAGGATGTCCGGGGGCCAGAAACCCCCGATCTTGGGGGTCAATTTTTTTTGGGGGGGGAGGGGGTTTTCACACCCCTCCGGCTTGCAAAAATATAAGAAAAGGAATATGTGTGTGTAGGAGGGGTCCGGGTGGGTGGGCCTGGCTGGTGCCTGTACCCCCCATTGGCGCCCCTTGTGGTTTCTGCGGGGGCCCCAGAGCTCCTGAGACGGCCCGGGCCCGCCTCGAAACGGGACGACAGGCTAAGGGGGTCCCAAAAGGGCCCAAGACGGTCCCAAGAGGCCCCGAATACGCCCAAGATGCCCTCAAGACGGCCGACAAGGACTCCAACACGCTCCAGGACGGCCTCAAGAGGCTCGCCAAAAGGGTCCTTGGCGGCAACATTCATACATTTTCCGAGGGTTTTTGGAGGATTTTGGCGATCTCGCTTTTCCCGCTTCCCAACGCTCCCTCACGGCCTCGGAGGCCCTTCAGATCGCCCCAAGACGGCCCACGAGGCCCCGAAAGGCCACCAAGACGGCCCAGGAGGCTCCCCAGACAACCCAATTGTGCCCCAAGAAAGCCCCAAGAAGGGGGCTCAGAGGGGGACCACGAACCGATATTTCAAGGTCTCTGGCCCCAGAGGCCCTCAGTAGGCACCCAGAGGCCACCAAGAGGCTCCCAAGAAGCCCCGTGAGGCCCCAAGAGGCCCCCAGGAAGCCCCAAGAGGCCCCCACGGGGCTTCCAGAGAACGCCCAAGAGGTCCCCCAACACACCCCAACAAATCATGTCCCCAGAAAGCCTTGCTGGGGCATGTTTCATCATGGGCCCGAGTCTCCGGAGGCTCCGAAGTACCATCACGCTACCGGAGAGCCGTTTGGGAAGTGGACTGGGAACACGACTGATCGCCTTCTCTGCCGACGTCTGCCGACGACGAAGACGACGACGGCGGCGGCGGCGACGAAGACGACGACGAACTTCGAACTTCGATGTTCGAAACGGTTGTTCGGCGCTTTCTGCCTTCGGGGGCCGTTCTCGGGCCCTAGGGCCGTCGGGCTTCGATCTTGAGTGGAAAGCTGCGCTGAAAGATCCTGGAAGGGGTCCATCCGACGACGACGACGACGACGACGACGACGACGACGACGACGACGACGACGACGACGACGACGACGACGACGACGACGACGACGACGACGCGCCCCAAGAGGCGACGACGACATTACGGCGACGACGACGGCACGCCCCAACAGGTTCCCCCAGACGCCCCCCAAAACCATGTTCCCAGAAGGCCTTCTGGGAACCCGATTCATCAGGGCTCCACGGGGTTCTTGGAGGTTCGGCGGGGTTTCAGGGGGGTTCGGTGAGGAGGCATGAGGCTGATGAAGCTGAGGAGGAGGGGGAGGAACAGGTTGGAGGATGAGGAGGGGGAGCAGGAATGATAGGGTCAAGGTCTACACGATTCTCTCGGTGCAGCTCTGTGTGACCTTCGGCGTCGCCTACTACGTCAACGGGCTCGTTCAGTCAAACCCAGAGTGGGCCGCGGCCCTCCAGGTCGTGTCCATGGTGGTGCTGTGCATCACCATGTGCGTCATGTGCTGCTGCTCAGACATGTTGAGAAAGTTCCCGTATAACTATGGGTTTTTGGCGGTCATCACCGTCGCCATTTCCTGCATGGTAGGGTTCGCGACTTTCGCGTACAAGACCGAGTCTGTGCTCCTGGCCGTGGCCACGACGGCAGTGATCTTTTTCTGCCTCACGGCCTACGCGTGCTTCACGAAGACAGACTTTACAGGCATGGGGCCATACCTTGCTGCCGGCTTGATGGCCATGATCGCGTTCGGTTTCATGCTGAATTTATTCTGCATGTTTAGCATGTGCCCGGGCCCCCTCACGCAGAAGTTATATGCCGGCTGTGGTGTGCTCCTCTTCACGATGTATATCGTCTACGACACCCAGATGATCGTCGGAGGCACGCACGCCAAACACCAATTCACCGTTGACGATTATGCCTTCGCGGCGCTAAACCTGTACTTGGACATCATCAACTTGTTCCTTTACCTGCTCCAGCTCTTCGGCCAGCGTAATGACTGAGGCGCGAGAGGAGAGGAGGACAGGAAGAGTAGGAGGAGAAGCAGGAGGAGGAGGAGGAGGAGGAGGAGGAGGAGGAGGAGGAGGAGGAGGGTTATGATGAGGATGACGAGCAGCAGAAGGAGGATGTATTATGTAGAAGCTTACTTTAATCGTGAGGGGGTAAGTGCTCTGGGGCAGGCCGCGGAGGGCCTCCAAGAGGCCCTTCCCTTCCGCTCTGCAGCCGTTTTGGCTGAATAGGCCCATGCGATTGCCTGGGCCCGCGGCCTCCCCTCCGGCGGGCCATTGTGGGCCTTGGCCGCAGGCGCCTCCGGCGCAGGCGCCGTCGGGCCGGTGGGAGAGCCGGGCCCCACGGCCGCCCTGGGTGGCGGCCCCTGCGGAGGCGGCTCGGGCAGCTGCCGCCCCCGCTCGCTCGACTCCCGAGTTCGGGGGCGAGCCGACCCCGCCGCCGGCCGAGGGGCCCGTGGCTGGGGCTGCCGCTCCGCCGCCGGCGGAGCCCGCGGGCGCCGAGGAGCCGGCGCAGCAGGCGGGCAGTGCCGTGGGCTGGGCCCAGGCAGGAGCCGGCGCAGCAGGCGTGGCGCCCGCACCCAGCGCTGGGGCCCGAGCGGTGGGCCCCGCGCGCGCCGCTCGTGCACCTGTGGCTCCCGCCGGTGCAGCTGCACGAGAGTGGGCCGCCGGTGCGGGCGTGCGCGTGGTGCGGCGGGCGACTTGGCGAGGCCCCAGCGTACCCGCTCGGCTCGCACGCCCTCGTCGTTCCGGGGTGCGAGCTCTGCTGGACGCTGGGGCGCGCGCTGCAGAACGCGCACCGCGCGCTCTTCACGTCCGGCGAGCGCCGGGCCGCCCTGCCGCTGGCCGAGCACGTGGAGGCCATCGTCGCGGCGCTGGCGGGCCTGGCGGACGTGCCTCCCCCTCCGCCCCCGGCGTGAGGGATGCCGCCGAAGGGGCGAGCGGGGGCGGCTGCTGGGCGTGGAGCGCGTGGGCGTGGTCGCGGGCGCGGCGGACCCGGGCGAGGAGCAGCGGCAGCTCATGGCGCTCGAGGGCGAGGTGCTGCCGCTGCCGCCCCCGCGCCGGAGCGGGCCCTACGCAGGCGCGCGGGCGCTGCGGCACCTGGGGGTGCCGCCCTCTTCGCTGCCGGGGGGCCAGGACAGTTCGTCCCCTTGGCCGCGGGAGCGGCTGGTGCTGGTGCGGCGGCCGCGGCGGGCGGCCTCCCCTGCGGCGGAGGCGCGGCGGCGCCTGGAACGCCCACGGCTGGCGCGCGGAGGCGCACAAGTGCCGCGGGCCTCAACCCAGCCGTGGTGGCTGCCGCGCAGGCTGGAGGAGGCAACCCCCAGGAGCTGGCTGCGGGGCTGGCGCAGATGGCGAGGGTCCTCGGCGTGGGCCTCAACCAGCAGCGCATCGCCGCCGCCATGCAGGCGGTGCCCCGCCCGCGGCCGGAGCACCTGCACAGCTCGGGCTTGGGGCTCAGCTCGCTGGAGCCCTCGCTGCCCCGGGCGCTGGGGGCATGCCAGGCCCAGCGGGGCTAGGAGTCCCGCTGCTGCCGCAGGGGCTGGCTTGAGCTGCCGCGGCGCAGCCAGCAGTGGCGGGGCTCCAGGCCGCGGGCGGGGCGGCTGCAGGAGTCGTCGCCGCGGACGGCCCTTGGCTCGGCAAGGGCCTGCAGACGCAGGTGCTGGCCCAGGCGGCGCTCGCGACGGGCAGCATCATCGAGGTGCCGGCGCACGACGACGCGCTGGCGATCACCGGCACAGCGCTGCTGAAGCTGGGGACCATCTGTGCCGCGGACGCCCTCGGCGCGTTCGCCACCGCCGTGTTCGGAGGCGCGTCGACACCCGTCAGCGCGCTGCAGTTCGAGCGGGCTTGGAGTGCCGACAGTGGAGCTCCGCTTGTTCACCTCTGCTCCTGCCCGCGCGAGGGGTGCCGGGCGGTGGCGGGCGCGCACTCTGTGTGCCACGTCGACGTGCTGCGCGTGAGGGCCCCCGTGCAGCTCAGCGAGGCGTGGGCCCGCCCTGCTGCCCTGCTGCGCGCTGCGCTGGTCGGGGATGCTGGCGCGGACCCGCTCAACGATGTGAGGTCCAAGGCGGCGCTCGAGGCGAAGGTGGTGCAGCTGAAGCAGGCGCTGAACCGGCATCGCGAGGGGCGCGCCGACCTCTTCACCGCCGCGGCGAAGAGGGCGTGAGGCTCCGCCGAGCCCAGCATCACTGGCGACGGAGGAGATACAGAGTCGCTTTTTCACGATGCCCCCTCCGGCTCCGTGACGAACCGGATCCAGCAGGCGGCGCGCCAACGCACGGGCGCGCTGCTCGAGTCGGGTCTCTCCGAGATCGCTCGATTCCTGTGCGAGCGGGGGGGGGGGGCGGGCACGTGCGGCAGCTCAGCGCCAGTGGTGGCCTACCTGAACAGCATCTTCTTTGGGCAGCACCCGCAGAGCGGCATGTCCCAGCACTCAGTGCGCGAGATGAGGACGATCGCCCACGCGATCGACGGGCTGCTCGAGGGGGAGCTGCCGGAGGTGGGCGACCTGCTCATCCAACGGTTGAAGGCGCTCGAGCTGAGTGTGCGCGACAAGGACTGGGCCGTGGCCAGCCAGCTGGAGCTCATGGACGACCAGCCGGGGGTCGTCAGCTTGTCGGAGCGCCAGGCTGCCGCCCAGCGCGCGCTGATGCAGGCGCGCCTCGCGGAGGTGAGGGGCAAGGGGCGCCTGGGCGCGAGCCCTGGATAGGGACTCCGCGGGGGCGAGGGGCGAGGGGCCGCTCCTCCCCTGGGGCGACCCTCCCCCGCTCGCGGAGCCGCCGCGGGCGGGGCCAGCTCCGCTCCGCCTCAGACGGGGGGCGCCCCGTTCTGGAAGCGGAGGCATCGTGGCCGCCGCGGGGCGAAGGCGAGAGCCCAGCCGCGCCCGCCGTCACCGGGGCGATCGGCGGGGCCCGCCAATGCAGCCCGCCCTGGCGGGGGAGCCCCCGACGGCAGAGTGCGGTTCGCCCCCGGGGCCGAGGCGGTAGCGGTGGGCCGACGCTCGGCAGCGGACGCGGTCAGCGGCAACCCTGTCAGGAAGGTCCTGCTACGACCGGACGGCGACCAGCTCCCTGGCAATCCCGAAGTGCCTCCGTGGATCGAGAGGCTCCGATCCCCCCGCCCGAAGGGGCGCGGCTGAGGATCGCAGGGCGCGAAGGGCAAGGGTGCCAAGGGCAAGCGCAGCAAGGGGGGCCAAGGGCAAGAAGGCCTAGCCTCCCAGCCGCCCTGGCGCCCCCCCCCCGCTGCTGCTGCTGCCGTGGGCTCCATGGTGCTGCCGGCAGCCCTCGGCGCGCCTGCTGGGGGAGACCGCGCCGCCCTGCCGCGCTGGTGTCGTCCGCGGGGGGGCCCCTCAGCCGCCGCTGCTGCAGTCAACCCCGAGGCGCTGCCGTCCGCCCTCGGGCGGCTTGCTGGAGGGGGCTTCGCCTTTGACGCGCGCCCGCCATGCCTGGGGGTCGCTGCCAAGGAGATCGAGGGGGCCGCGCCGCGCGACGTGCCGCAGGTGCTGCTGAAGCTGGCGCGGTCGCTGCCCACGAGACTTGGCGAGGCTGCCAGGCGTCTGACACAAGATGGAGGCAGGCCAACTTCCAGGGCAGAGGAGAGACAACGTGACCTCCTCCCCCTGCCCTTCGTGGCACTTCCAGACGCAGAGCTTCGCGGACTGGGGGCGACCTCGTCCCAGCAGGTGAAGGCAGCGAAGCAGTGGACGTACGTGCTCATCATCGGCCTCAACCACCTGTGCGCCAACTGCTCGGCCGACCCCGAGAGGTGTGTGCAGCGCGGACCTCCCGGCCTAGCGCAGCTCAGGAGCCTGCGCATGCTGGCTCGGGTAGCTCTACTGTTCATCGCGCGAAGCCCCGAGCCCGTCGGGCCCGCTGACTGGGCCAGCGAGCTGGCCAAGAAGCGGGTGGCCCGCGACGGGGAGGAGGTCGGCACGGCAGAGACGCTCACGGTCGAGCAGGTGCTGCCCGCATTGCCGCCCCTCGGCATCGCGGCCTCCGTGGAGGCGGCGCCGCTCTGCGATCCCGTGGTGCGCTGGGCGCTCCTCGACGCAGACGCGATGGTCCTCCCCCAGGGCGTCAGGCCAGCGGTGCCGCCGCAGGCCAAGATCTGGGCTTCCAGCGAGGTCTGGGAAGAGCTGGTGGAGGTATTGTGGGCTCGCGGGCTCGTGGGGCCCATCGACCTCAAGGACGTCCTGCACGTGGGCGGCAATCCAGTGCTGTGCGGGGCCTTCGGCGCGCGGAAGGGGGCCGAGCGGGCCGTCATGCTGCGCGACGGCTCCTACGGCCACGTCCTGCGCCTCATCGTGAACCTCGCGCCGTCGAACGTGATGCGGCGCGTGGTGGGCGGGGCCATAGACCAGCTGCCCCGCTCGAGCCAGTGGTTGACCATCGCGCTGCTGTCTCACGAGATCATGCTGTGGACCTCCTCCGACAGGCAGTGCTTCTTTTACGCGTTCAGGTTGCCGCCGTGTTGGAGGAAGCTGATGGCTTTCATGGCTCCTGTGCCTGGCCGCTTGGTTGGCCGTCCGGACAAGGCCTGGGTGCACGCGGCCAGCGCCGCGGTGGCGATGGGCTGGATCTCAGCCACAGGAGTGTCGCAGCACATGCACCGCAACGTGCTGACGGCAGGGCGCCCGGGTTCTGCCGGACTGGGGCCGGAGGCGGAGTGCCGCAGAGACCGCGGGGGCCCACTCACGTCCCGGAGCTCGGACACCACGGCGTGGGAGGTCTACATCGACAACCTGGAGATCCAGGAATTGATCGACTGGGTGGACGCCGAGGCGCTCCGCGGGAGCGTCAGCCCTTTGCTCGAGCTCGCAAGGGCGGCCTGCGAGGCCCGCGGCGCACCTGGCGTGGCGGCCAAGGACGTGCTCCGCCAGTCTGAGACGCAGGCCCTCGGGGACAGGATCGACGGCGACCCGGGCCGCAAGGGGCCGCCCAAGGGTTACGCGACCCAGCTCATCTCGCTCACCATGTGGGTCCTGGCCCAGCGCGGCACCTGCAGGAAGCGCTGGCAGATCGTCCTGGGGCGCTGG